GGAGTCCTAGAAACTAATATTTCATTGTTCAACTTCGTCACAAGGTCTGGAAACACATTCCACTGCCCCTGGCCACGCATTCACAGAGCCCTGTGAGGACTGCTTTGTCCCTCCAGAGAGAAACAGCGAGGTGTGTGGAAAGGAAGAAGGCAAAGGACATGTTCTGCTCCTCCTGACTGCCACAAAAGGAATAAAAAGTGAGCAGGACTTGTCACCAAGCAGGTAACAAGGACCCACACTTACCAGCAACTCCCTCCTCTGCCAAGCTCACAGCTCCCACTAACCAAGCTCCCAGACCACACTACTGGCTCTGATCCTGAAATCCCTCAGGCTGCTCAAACAGCAGATAAACTCTCATCACAGCAGAGCCGATTACCAGTGCCTTTCACCACTGAGCCCAAACCTATAGTCTGATACCTCTGCACAAACAATGGATCAAGAAATAAATAAGCCAATCAGGTAAGCAAAGGGAGAAGTTTTGTGCACTACATTGAGGAATATAAGGGGGTTTGATTTTTTAAAAGGGAATTCGTCTGTTCAGTTCTCGTTTATGTCAGTTCTTGATAAGATAAGAGGATTAAACCAACTGTATGCTAAATGCCCTGTGCTGAAGAGAGTCCTGCTGGGATTTACTGCAAGTTGGCATGCACAGAGAACCCACAGCATCACCCAGAGACCCTGGGGCTCACAGAACGACCCGTTCAAACTTCTGAAATAAAAATCACAGCTTATCCAGACTTTCCATATGCCACCAGGGTACCAACTCCTATCCCTCTCCAGTTTCACTCAAGCTTGCTTATTAAGTGCCTGTACCCAACAGGCAAGTCTTTGTACAAGCAGCACTTATCTCGGAGCACTGGCATCACAAGAGGATTTCAGATGTGCTGTGGGTTTTTGGATGCAAACTGTTAACAAACACTGTGTGCATCCCTCCCCCCGTGCCAAACCGAGGCACACACATCCTGTCACCCTCATGCTGTTACATGCACACACCCCACAGCTATCCCCCCATAAACTCCTAAACAACACAGCTTGTTAAAAACGCAATTCACAGGTTTTTTACAGGAGTCAAAGTTCTCCTGTAACTTCTTCTATCGGCCTGACAAACGCATTTGCGGTGTTTAGTTCATTAATTCTGAAAGAGCACAAGATCTTGGGAGGTGCAGCCAAGGACAGGCAAGGTACTGAGAGAGTTTTTAGCACCTAGCAAACACATTCTCCCCAAACACCTGAAAATGAACAGCAGTTTCACCAGTGTGAACTCCCTCGTTCCTGTGCCCCAAATTATAGTCAGATATTGTCACCTTGGCTCCCTACCAGTGCCCTGCTCTGGGGTAAGGAGACCATGCACCACAAGAGTGTTTGTCAATACAGCTAAGAACACTGGACTACAGCCTGTGAGGGAAATCTAGTTAAAGTGTCAGTGACTTCAGCTGGTGTTTGGGGTTGTGGTTTGGGGTTTTTTCCTACCCCTGAGGAGGAATTTGCCCTGAACTTTGCAGAAATTGAGTCACGATCTTCATCACTGTGGGCGACCGGAATGGTTCTGGTGCTGCTTCCCAAATGCCAGTCTGGCTCTCACATATTACACTGCTACACGTTGCTCTGGGCCATTTATCCTCTTCCCCCTGTGCCTCGAGGTGAAACCGTCACAAATGTTGACGGGCAGTTTCCCCTTGAATCGTTTTCCTATCAGACAAGAATTCTCCTTCCATAGAGGAATATCTTCCCCATGGGAATACAGCAGGCATTCACAGGGGCAGCAGGAAGAAAGGAGGAATGGATCTGTTATCATATTAAGCATTTCCATTCCATCTTTATTTTCTTTTTCTCTAGCTGAGGTCTGTTTTATCCTAGGCTTAGGGAATCAAACTATAAGGCTCCAAGGGGTAAAGATGCTGTCTTGATGAGTCTAACCTCTGAAGATGCATCCAGGATGATAAAAGAAGTGTAGCTATTGAAACATCTCCCTTCAATACAGTTATTGTGTTGCTAGGTTTCCATCTAGACACACAGCCTAAAAGAGCAATCAAAGGAAGCTGATGCTGTGGATAATATCTTTATCAACACTTCACAAGGTGGTTGGGGAGGTAGAGGGGAAAAATATTGTCCCCGAACAAAGTTGTTCTGATGAGAATAGACAGCAAGTTTCAAAAGCTCACCCATATTTTCATGGGAAATTTTTTTAAAAAAACCCAGAGCTCTCAAGGTCGTAGATTTTATGTGTATCAGCATGTGGCTTCGTGAGCAAAAGGTCTGTGTGTTTATTCTGTCATTTGAATTGTAAAATTACTTCTCTTTCAGCACACAAGTCCTCACCCCACTTAACTAAAGCCTGTCTTGCAGCAGCAGATGAGGGCATGCATCAGCCTTGTTTTAGAGGAACTTATTTGTTGCATATTACATTAAATCCCAACAGACTCCACACTGCTGTCAAAATCCCATCCTAATAATTGCATGAGGGAAGGTTGCTAACCAGCACACTGCTATGCCTGTGCACAGAACAAAGGTTCAGGTGACACAGGATGCAGCAGCGAGGCAGATCCCCGAGGGACCGGGGGAGCCTCCAGCTCACTCCGCCTTGTCCCAAAGTTTTTCAGTCATACTCAGCTCCCGCCCTCTTCGAGTGCTTTTAAACACCCGGGCAGTAGCAACCAGCCCCGCACTCTTTGGGTTTGGTCATCTCATCCCCAAACAGCAAAGAACGGCAAAGAGTTCGTTTTCTCCAGGAGTCCGGGTGTTCTACTGGCATGTCCTTGGAGACCACCTGGAACAGCGCGGGCCCAGGACCAGGCTGCGCTCGGGACTGTTGCTAAGCGATGTAATGTCCTTGTTAAGCGGTATGAGGTTTTTAGGCAGGAAAAGCCAGTATAAAACAGGAAGGTTACCTTACTTGTGCCAGGTATGCTCTTTACAGCTTTTGGACCAGCACCGGACACCAGCTGCTGTCACAGGCGAGGATCCCTCCTGGCTGGACCCGCTGCCATCCCCGAGCGTGGCGAGTGCCCCGCTGGCTCTGCTCCTCCTCAGGGAGGCCGGCCAAGCCTCCGTGGAGCCGGGGACACAAAGCTGCTCAGTTCTGGCGCCCAACTTTTCCCCCAGGAGAACAGCCCTGCTGCAGGCGCAGCTCAATCAGCTCATTATAGAGGCAGCCTCCCGAGAAACGCTCTCCCTGTGCATATTCATGAACTCTCCAGAGCTTCCAGGGAGAGTTGGCTAAACACACAACTGAGGGATTTAGCTGTTGGATTCCCAGGGAAAAAAAAAAAAAAAAGAAAAAAAAAAGGGAAGGGGAGAGGAAAGAGGGGCGAGGAGGGAGCAGAGGGCTTAAAAAAAAAAAAAAAAAAAAAAAAAAAGTGACTAGCGGAGCGACTGCAGCGGTGCTGCCCTAAGCAGGGACCGACCGACCCCGCGTCACCCCCACCCCAGGCAGAGCCGAGCGCCGGGGGTCGGTGGCGGGGACCGAGGAGACGGTGTCACGGGGAGACGGCTGTGCCCACAGCCCCCCAAAACAACAACCCCCTTCCTCCCCGGGGCCGCGGAGCGCATCACTCACCTCCACCCGGCCGGGCGGCAGCAGCCGAGGGCTCGCCGCGATGCCGGGGCACAGCCGGGTCCCGCGGTCCCGGTGCCGGGCAGAGCGGTCCCGATGCCGGGGCAGAGCGGTCCCGATACCCGGCACAGCGGTCCCGGTGCCTCTGCAGCGCCGGCGGCAGCGCCGAGCGGCGGTCGCGGTCCCGGTCCCGCCGCCCTCCCCCGGCCCCGCCGCCGCCGCCGCCGCCTTTTAACGCCGCTCCGCCGAGCGCCGCGGCCGCTGCTGGCACGGCCCGGCCCGCCGGCCCCCGGGGGCGGCCGACAGCCCCCGGCGCGGTGCCGCCGAGCGGCGGGATGAGGAGCGGTGGGATGCGGAGTGCAGGGATGCGGACCGGAGGGGTGCGGAGCTCCGGGGCTGCCGCCGCCCCGCCGGGCTGCGGGCGGCGCTGCGGCCGCGCTATAAAACCGCGCTATAAACCGTGCCCCGTGAGCGGCCCCCGCCCCGCCGGCCCCGGTGGGGAGAAAGGGCAGCCCCCGTGAAAGGACAGCTCCACGGTGGGGCTCTGCGCTTGGGAATGGCCCCCGGTGACAGCCCGGCCCCCGCGCAGCTCCCCAGCGGACAGGGCGGGTACCGGAGCGGCCGACGGGGCCGGGAGCTGCCGCTGCTGCCCGTGGCCCCTCCGGGACACGGCCCCATCGCGGGACTGCCCTGCCCTGCCCGGAGCTGGGTTTGCAGGCTGCCGTTTGGAGAGGGACGGGGGTGTCCCGTGTGACAGGGTCTGGGCTGGGCATGGGAGTGCGGCTCTGCCACCACGCCGGGACCGGGCGCGTCTTGGGACAGAAAGTGCCACAAACTTTTGCAGCAGCTGGCTGGTACTGCGGGTCCAGCCCGCGTTAGAGCCGGGGCTCAGGGAAGGACTCATCAGGTACTCGCTGGTACCCACAGCACCAGATAAGTCCTCTATACAGGTGACATCTCTATGCCTTCAGTTGCAGAGGTATGCGGCAACAACCCCTGAATTAAGTAGGAGTCGTTAAATGGGAGGCAGCAAGACTTGTTAATTAGGGCGGTACAGAAAATCTTTTATACATTCGTGCTTGCCCCTCATGCAGCAAGGCACTCTGCACAGCTGGTCATCGAGCTTGCCTTGCCCTTGCCTGAGCTTTCATGAGGGATGTCCCTGATAAAGACATCCCTGAGTACAGGGGCTTTACTTAGTGTTGACAGACGGTCTCTTAATTACCGTGCTGGATACAACAGTTTTGCATTCATTTATCGTGTGCTCTCCTGTGCCTCGCTCTGGCTTTGGAGGCAGGAAGAGAACAACATTCCCTCCATCCTTGGCCTGTTTACCGGGGTGACCTGTTACTATGATGTGGATTCCTGCAAGAGCAGGGTTGTTGCTAAACAAATACCTGGTGGGAATGGCTTTTAATCAGGCTACATTACAGAGTTAATGTTTGAGTGTTGATGGCTGTTGCTGAGGAAAAATATCCCTCACTCCAGTTTTCAGATAGATTTGTCAAGTCAATAAGAAAGAGAAAGCACAATAAAACAGGCCCATCATCACCTGAGTGTGTCTGTAGGCAGGCAGCTGTGTCAAAGGCACAGCAGCTCCCTCTGATGCATCACCCAAAGTGAACAGGAAGCCAGGCAGACAAAGCCAGACCATCATCTTCCTTGTGGGGCTCCAAGGAATGCTAATTTAATGAGGCTCCTGAAGTAAAAATGCATTCTACCGGCTCTGAGCACTCCTGCCAGTGATGGAGGTCTCTGCAGAGAAGGTAATGGTGAGGGGTTAGCTATTCTGTTGAAAACTGCAGCCTACAGTAGAGGGGAAAAATTGCTTTTTCCAACTTTGCTGGTGTTGGGAGCGGAGCCCACGCTGATGTGAAGGACAGTGCTCAATCAATCACTCAGCAGAGCCTGGCAAACTGCAGGAGTTATCGCCAGCGCTGGTACAAGCACTCAGACAGTGACAGGATTCTCCGCAGCAGTGACTCTGACAGCCCTCCAGGTGCAGACAGACAGACAGACAGACAGACACACGTACACCCACCCTGGGAGCCCTCCACTCGCCTCTTTGCACAAACACAGCACACAGGGGCAAACAGACACAAAGTGCTGCTGCCACAACGGCTCCCAGACGAGCCGTTCCCATCCCTTCTCTGCACGCACAAGTACATCAACCTGACAGCTTCAGCTTTTAAAACTTGTACATGGTTTTCCTTCACCTCCCTTCACACACACCCCGCAGAGCTGCATTAGCCCGCAGCTGAACTAGAATTTTCTCTTGCTGTGTTGGCACCTACAATATATACATGAAGAATATGCCTTTCCCTGTCAATACAGAGATGCTCAGACTGACACATTCAGCACTAAACATCCCTCCATGAACACACAGGGGCCTGCACAGCACTCAGAAAGCTCTGTAAAGGAATACTCACCTGGATGGGAAGGGCTGACTGGGGGTTGACAGTCCTGCTCCATGGCAACTTCTGTGATTTCACTCTCTTTTCATTCTGCCATTGGAAAGAAATAAAACATTTCAAATATTTGGGGACGGGAGGGGCAGGATGGTGCCCAGGGGAGATGATCATACCTGGGTTAACAATTCTTTCCATGCCCCTCTGTGGTCAGAGAGCATCAGCTTCTGACTGCTATGACTCCCTCAGACCTCTCAGAAGTGTGCAACCAGGCAGCATGTGTTGCCAGCAGGAAGACATAGCTCACTACTAGTTTAAACCAGCAACACTGAGCATGTTTTACTCAGATACAAGTTAGAAATGCCTGTATAAGCAGCACATAAACACAAACTGTATCCAAGTGTACCTGCATTACTTGCACAGACTTGTATACAAAAATTTCAGTGTGTTATTGCAGAGTTCACTAAGAGTGCAAATGCACCCACAAGGAATTAGCATTATTGGTGGCTTTTATCAGCAGTGCACGTGCCCAGTCAAACAGCACAGAGGCCGAGGGGTGCACGCTGCTGTTCTCAGCCCCACAGGTACAAACACATGTGTGACACCAACAGACATCAGCACTGTACTGCAGCCTCGGGGAGCAGCTGCAAATCCATGAATACCGGGCCACATGCACTGAGGCACAGTCACAGGCAGGCTGCCAAAGGATTGCTGCTCTCCCTAAAGCCAGTCCTGGCTAAAGGATGCCTTTTGGAGTTGGGGAGCTGAATGAAAACACCTTCCCCTTTATTCATGTCCTCACAACCTTCCACACCAAAACCAGGCACCATCGACCATTCCGCTCGCTCGTCTTTATGGCCCCTCTTTGAAATTCTGGCTGCTCATCTATGCAGAATAAAACTACCCAAGCAATCTTTCCTGTCCAGGTGCTCATTACTAAAGTGTTAAATTATGCCAGGCAGGCTCTCTTAGGCCTTGTAAATTTTTTCTGGGGGACTTTCAGCTTCCACAAGGTCTATTATTGCCTGATTGCCCGAAAGGCTGTCGAGTTTGTCCCAGCCAGGCACAGAGCAGAGAGGCCTGGGCAAGAGCTGAGCACTGAGCCCCTGTCAAACACATTAGAAGAGTCGGGATTGAAGGGTGACACTGTCCCTGAGTGACTGTGGGTGCAAGAAAAAGGGGCAAGGACCTGTGTCTGTGGGCCTGATCTCAGCCAGGGCTCAAAGGAAGGCTGGACACACCAGGAAGCTTAATAAAGCAGAGAGAAAATAATGGAGAAACCCAGGAAGAAAGGGCAATAGCCCCCAAAGCCAGAGAGGTTCTCTTTTACCAGCTGCCAGCAAAGTGTCCCAGGAGAATCTGCAGGTACACCCATCACCTCTCAGCTCCCAGGGGCAATCTCTAAAGGATGCTGAGCTGCAGATAAAGTATATTTTCATATTAAAAGAGTAGGGAGTGGGGACAAAATTATCTGTAGAGAAACTTCCCTCAGCCTTTTTGAAGTTGTGGTCTTTTTTCCTAGTGTCTTCCTGTCAGAGAACTGAGACTTTCTCTCCTTATCTTTCCTAACCCAAACATCCTGCTTGACAGAACAGCATGGAAAGGGATATTTCCTATCTGTCCATAAAACTAACAAAGCCACATCACAAGCTATTTCTATGTCTTGTGTGTTTATAAACCTCAGCCCTGCCCTGACCAAGCAAAATAGCTTCTAGTTACCACTGATTCAGGCCTGAATTCAAATTGGCAGCCCATTATTCCTTACTCAGGCAACACTAGTACTCAAAAATTATGCGAAACATTTCCCAGATGCAGAAACAATCGCTTCCCCAAAGAGCAGAGGTGAAGGCACGCAGCCAGCCAGCCCCCTCTTTTGTTGGATAACATTTCTCATATATTTTGTGAGAGCCAGATGGCACCATCTGAACAGCAGTGAGCCTGGGAGCCTCCAGCCACATCAGGAAAAAGGGAAGCGCGTCCCAGCCCTGCTGTGGGCAGCTGCCCCTGCTCGGGCACAGGGTACAGGGCACGAAAGCTCTTCTGCGTAAATTCACACGTGGAAACCTAAATCCCCGCTGCTGACAGGCAAAACCCCGACAGTTTTAAGGGCAGGAAGAGTCCCCCCAAGTCCTGAGGCTCTCTGGAAAAGGAAGGTCCATGTGCAGATTGCCAGAGAGAAAGAAACAGATGTGGAGAGAGACAGAGAGTGTTCTGAAGTTCTAAACCCCCGCTGCGTGTGAGGCCTTTTCCTCGCAATTAGGGGAAGCTAATGGTTTTATGGAAGCTGTTTGTTCAAAAGGCCTCCACTGCACTCTTTAATGGAGTTTCACCAGCATTCCCCAAAGGCTTGCAGGCTGCATTAGTATCCCACAGCTCACACCCTAACCAAACAAGCCTTCTCACCCCGATGCCTCTGCCCTGTGTGCGTGGAGTGTAGGAGGATCAGGGCTGCTGTGCCTCGTGTGCTCGCCTTCCCACTGGAGTCTTGGAGCCCCAGGATGCGATGAATATTCATGGCATAAACATTAGCAGTAAGTATTGTGCAATTTGGACAAAAATACATTTCAGGCAAAGGAATGGGGAGAGGAAAACCGAGAGAGCATCTCTACCCCTGAGCTCCGGCAACTCCTGAATCGCATTTTTTTCCTGAGCTGTAACTGGTGGTTTTAAAATGCAAATCAGTCCTGGGTTTTTGAAAGACATTGCGAAAAAAACCCACCAGCAACAATAAAAAAAAAATAAAAAAAAAAATCAACAGACCCATGCAGCAGAGCTTTATTGTGTTGTAATGAGTGTGGGATTTGCAGAGCTGCCTCTTGCCAGTGAATGCACAGTGGATGCAGGGCAGGAAGCCCTGAGGCTTGTCCCCAGCCAGTTCTGCCACTAACTCACTGTGCAACCTTGAACAAGACATTCCTTCCTCCATGTCAGTGTTCTCATCACAGGCCACAGGGGAGGGGAGAGAGATGAGGCTATTTCTGTGCCTCCTGGTGAGACTGTTACATTCCAGGCCACTCTGAGGTGGAAGGCAGCAGGACTGACACAGCAGCTGTTTTCCTGCAGGGATCGATGAACCAGGGTGCTGCTGCCTTGTTCTAAATGGTCTTCCCGTGGCAGATACTGCTCAACCCTTCAAACTCTTTTTCCTATTCCATAGTTCATCTTTGGCCTTGTGTCTCCCTTGTGTCTTTCTACAGATCTGGTCCCTGCACTGAGCCCCAGTGTTGGTAGAAGCCCCTCTGCAACTGTTCAGCTCTTCTGATTCACCTCCACCTGGAGAGCATCTGATACCATTTTCCCTGCCCTCCAGCTAAAGAGCTGTCCCCAAACAGACTCTACTACACAGATCATAGCAGAGTCGAACATAAAAGGGGAGAACAATAAGTGATTTTTTTTTTTTTTTTTTACTATAGATAGATTTTCTTCAAATTATTGATGGTAGAAACATAAACAACAACAGTCTATTGAGGGGGGACAGTCTGAGGCACCTCACAGTCTGGAGGACAGCTCTGTTCCTCTATTCCTGGAACTCCAGGGTTCACTCTGGGATCTTGAATGACTCTGGTTATCTCCAGCTTGTCTCTCCTCTAACCCTCTACTCCCTTCTGTACAGAGAAATAGTGGAGGGCATTTGAGCTGCCATTTATTTGTCCACTGTTGCCTCTTCTCATCATCTGCCTTCCCCACACTCAGCCCCCAGTGCTGGTAAGCTCAGAAGGGTTAACTGGTAATTTCTAAACCACCTTTCCAAGCTGTCCCCTGTCACCCACAGCCTGCACATCCCTCCTCCCAGCCCATCCCCACACACAGCACTGAAGGAAGGCTGCAGAACCCCCGCATTTAGAAACCAAGTTCACTCCACAGGGTCAAGTCAAGGAGGCCAAAAATTGCAGTCAGCCAGCACTAGCCTTCCCTTATCACCCACCAGAGAGAATATTAACTGGTAAAGCAGAGGCAAAGAGTGCCATGTTCCATTACCAGTCCCCTGAGCTCCCCCTCAACACCAAGGAGTGAGAGCTGTTAACTGAGCTCTTCAACTGCATTTTCACTGACAGAAAGGCCCCAGCAGCTGCCTGACCTTCATGTAGCAGAAGTCTCAGGTCCTCTCAGTTGCTGTGTGTCACAGACAGAAATCACTCAGAGTCTTCTGATGCATTTCAGAAATTATTTCCCTGATGAAGGCAAGATCCCAGAGGAGGAACACACCACAAGAAGAAGCAGTCACACTGGGGAAAAGTCAGGGCATTCCAATCAGAAAATGCCAAGAGGTTCAAATCCAGATGCCAAAATCTATGTTTAAACCCCTAAGCATCAGACCTGAAGCTCCCATTACACGTAGGGAAATCTGTGAGTGCTCAAGGCTTGTCATACTTAGTCATTTATTTCCCGATATGTAAATAGGAATAGAGAGCTTCTCAAGAAATGTTCTACTATACCAGCAGAGCATTTCAGCTCTTCAGTGGAAACAAACCTTTAAGAGGCACCAACTGGAATCAAAATGCATTAGTTTAAGCTGAAATATTTATGGTTTAAGAGATTCCTTTTTTAAGTAATTAAAATATACCTAAGCAGAGCATCATTTCTGACTCCTTTTCCACCAACTATGCGGTGGTGACGGTCAGAAGGTTTTACATATTGGTAGTGGCAGTAGAAAAGTGCTTCTGAGAGTCAGGGGGGAGAAATGCCTGCTCCAGGAAGAACAGAATAAGAATAGGAAAAAAAAAGAGGAAGACAAGAAGTCAAACTAACCCATTGACACACTGAAAGAAAGGTGCCCACCCACTACCACTTTGGAACCATGGGAAACCTTACCCATCTCTTCAGCTGTTAGAGAACCAGGAGAGCTTGTAGAAGTGAGTCTGGGGTCAGAAAATTACCAGAAAGCAAAAAATCCCTATAAAACAGAAAATACCTAGGAAGGGTCTAGGTCAGAAAGTCCTTGCAAGCAAATTTGAAATCAACTCTTCCTCTCTGGGTGTAGATTGCCCTGAACAGTACATGGGAAATGTTCCAGAGTGCACACAGCAAACTCAGGGCACATTCCAGCCTAATGATTAATGCAAGAGAAGATGTCATTCAAATTCCACACATTTGTATCAGGTATTTTTCCTGTTAATGTTACCACTGTGGAAAAAAAATTAACTACGGGAGGGGAAATGACGAAGGAAATTCATTGGTGTTATAAATCACTGCTGTCCCATTTTGACCTCAGAAAGGTTGGCCAGTTCCGAGCAGTGGAGCATATGACTCATTATTACCTGTCTATTCAAACACCCCATGGCAGGGAGCTCTATGTGGTACCTGCTTGGCAGATTAATCTTTTGTCCCCCTCCAAACCAGCACACACCAAGGTATCTGAGCCTAAGCACCAAGTGTGCCTTTCATCTCAGGGTCCTTCCACAAAGCCAAGACAAGCATCGAGCCTCAGATGATGAAACAGAATAAAAGCTTGTGCTGTTTCCATACCCTGAGCAAACGGAGGGTAATTGAAACCCTCCATCTACTCTCAGTCAAGCTTTGCGTTTTGCTCTGTGCAGAAATTTCCATCTGAATGTGATGCTTGAACTGCTGATGTGGGAGAAAGGCTGATCTACCTCGGTGAGGGAGCCAAACAATTGGGCTGGTTCTCTTTGAGGAGGCACAAAAAGGGTCCCCCTGTGTGCCTGAGCAGCCCAGGCAGGCAGGAGATGTGGTTGCCCTTTGCAAAGCAGGTGCTTCGGCCCCTGATGGGCCAGCTCTGCCTGTCGTGGTGGCTCCACATCATTCACCAGAGCCCTTCCTGCCACACTCAGTGGGTTTGTGTCCCACTGGAAGGCTGTGGAATGCAGCCCTGGGTGTGTGGGGACAGATCCAGCTGTGCTGCCTCCAGTGTGGAAGTGGGGAGCAGTGCAGGCTGTGGCTGAGAAGTAGAACCGTCACTGCAAAAGAGCCCTTAAAATGGAGAAAAGCCCCTGGGAGGTGGGGCTGGAAAAGTATCTTTTGCAGGTGCTTTTGGTGGTGTGCCCCTGTTTACCAACACAGTGCTGCTGGCAGAAAGGAAAAGTAAGAAGCATGAGCAGGGAAGCACACACACAAACCAGAAGAAAAAGCTAAACTGTACATAAACCCAGA